GATGGAAGTAAATAAGTAGGACCTGCCAGTAGCACCCTCCAATCGCCTGCTCAGATTGGGTAGAGAGAAGCACATCAACACAATAAAGGTCATTTAATACAGGAGTAACCCACAAGGAAAGCGTAAGAAGGGAAGACCAAAGATGACACGGAGGCGAGCGGTACAAGCAGAAATTGAAAAAGCGGGGACATCATGGAAACAGATAGAAAAGGATGCTCAGGACAGGCTTCGCTGGAGTAATGTTGTTGATGGCCTGTGCTCCATTGGGAGTTAAAAAGGGCAAGAGAGAGAGTACAGGAGTAAAGTAGTGGGATATACCAGTGGTGTCCTCCAATGAAATGCAGAAGGTCTTATGTTCATAAGATCTGACACTCAAAATGGGACCAGAAGTACTTGTGCTATGACACAGTGGAATCAGGCGCTCGTCAATTTTTGGGCATATGGGGTTATTGGTATCATCTATAAGCTGATTTGTATTGTTTGCCCTGCTTCAAATGAAATAAATATCCCTCTATCTTAAATAGATCTCAAGATATTGGTGATTGAAGGAAGTGAGGTCGCCTGGCTTCAGCGGGGAAATTAGCGAGAAAATGGCAGCCAAAGTTTGGTAACTCCAATAGTTAAAGAGTCCACGAAAACAGAAAAATGACACATTTTCAGCCTTTAATCAATGTTTTTCAGTAAAATTCACACAGAAATGTGTTTTTATATGGACATAAAAGAGGTTGAGCCAAAAAATAAAAATCCGATAAAAATTTCCAAACTGCCAGAAAAATGCCTGTTTTTTCAATTTCCGTATTTTGACGAGTGCCTGATTTCACCATGCTGCCTCACATTTTGAATGACTCAGTACTGGTTCAAAAACCCATTCAGTATACAGTTCATGTAGTCAACAGAACATAATTGCTTTACAGTCAGACTGAAGTATACGTGGCTCAGGGGGAAGATGCATAAATAACTTTTTTTTAAAAATAAAAAATAATTAAATTTCACTGATGGTTTTCTCCTACTTTTCCCTAACAGCCATGGCTATTTCTCATCTTGAAAGTGTATATACAATACAGACGCCGTCATCTATTTTGGCTGCAATTTTTATTGATGTGTTCCTCAGTTAAGAGTTAGGAGTATAGAGCAGCACACCGACACATTGACAGTCATTTAGTGCACGGACAAACTACAAGAGATAAAAAAAAAACAACAACAGAGGGATAGAAAAGAAGTAGGACCCACTAGTGGCACCCTCCAACCAACCACACAAAGTGCCTCATGTTCACAGATCAGAGACATTTGGAGGTTCATGTACTCGATCAGCCTCTTTGAAAAAAACTCATTCACTAATCTGAGAGATAATGTATTACAAAATGGCCTCAAGCAAAAAGTTATTGGTTACTACACAATATCTTGCTCCCTAAGTGATTATTATATCCAAGAAAAAATTAGACACCTATTTTATAAAATAAACCATATGAACAGTATATTACGCTTTCGGTAAGAAAGAATTTCCCCTGGTCACAAAGAATACTAATATAATGAAAGTCCTACTGACAGTTAAAAGCCATCTTCATAGTGTAAAACAGAGTTTGCATAATATATTCATTTGAGGCGAGCAACACACTGTAATGAATGCAAAAATGACAGATCCTCTTCCCTTACCAAAGCTTCTTTATTTTGACTTAATACCAACAAAATTCAAACCTGCCGAAGACAACCACCCAATATCGGGAAGAAAATTGGTCATCTTAGACAGGTTCTCTTTGACAATGCCATTATAATGATACAACAAGGCTAGTGGGAGGTGGTTGTTTGCACAGGTGTTTCTCTAGGACAGATGGTCCCTCGACCAGATTCGACTGCTTTTGATAAAAGCTGGATCATTTATATTCCAAAATCGAGAGACTTGTACTTCTGCCATGAAAATTGAGGATCAGGTAAGAGAAAAAGGTAATTACCTTACTATGGACAATTTTCACAGCAGAAAGACAAATATGCTCCCTCAAAAATTATATGAGTGATAATAATAAAGACGCGTGTTAAAGACACTAAAATCAATTCCACTCCTTCTTTCCACTTTTCAGTATACTTATCATACTTCGTTATTATACTTCATTATACTTAAACTTTTCCTTTTCAAGCTAAACAAAAATAACCAAAAAGACGTAAAAATAGTTTTAATAACCAAAAAAAATTTTTTAAAGAGATATTTGTAACAGAAGATAGGAGAAGGGTCAGTCGTACCTTGTTTGCCAGCAGCACACATGGAACAGGAGTACCATCGCCCAGTTGGACTTTGCTGTCAAGGTCGTTCTTCCACTTGGTGACCGCCTCAAATGTCGATGCCCGGGTCACGTCAAACACCACAAAAGCACCCACAGCCTCTTTGTAGTACACACGTGTCATGTTGCCGAACCTCTCTTGCCCTGAAAAACCAAGGACTTCGTATCTCATTCCATTCGGTTAATGTGTAGTAATGGTAATTATAGCAGGCAGCTTTACGTTAAGATTAGCACAATTTAAGTCCACTATATGTTTTCTCATTTGTTTTTGTTTTTCAAGTTTTAATAAAGTATGGCATCAGACTTGGCTATTGACAAAGTTTTTAATAAAGTATGGTGCCAGATTTGGTAATTGACAAAGTTTTTAATAAAGTATGGTGTCAGACTTGGCTATTGACAAAGTAATCACTTCTTTTTATTTTAATTCGTAGGAAAACATAATTATACATTGTACAACAATCAATACATACTTATATTATGAACATTAGATGTGCTGACACAAATCTTGCAGACATATATCAATGCACTGAGTAATATTCCAAACATTTGGAGGATCTGCAATGTAAAATCTTTGGTCCTTCCACTCCACTTCCTATAACTGTGTCATCAGATTCTTTCTTTTCAAGACCACATTTAAAAAATAGTTTTAATACCACTGGACCTGTTACCTTTTGCCCCCCCCCCAAAAGTTTCTGAGCTATACGACCTCCAATTCATCTGCACTGCTACTGTAATTGTAAAGGTTTAATGTTCCTTTACCACTTTACCTCCATGGGACGCCAATTGACAACGGTGTGCTATAGCAACAAAAATGTATTAGGAATGATCTCCTTTTAGACATGCACAATAGGTAAAAGTTATAATTTCTTTTCTGAATAGGTTGTGTGGCCTTTGAGGGCAAAAATCAGTTTGTTTACCACAATTGGAGTAAATTCTTGTGAAAAATGTCTAGTACACCTCGCGTGAGTACTGCTTAACGCAAAGAATTCGGGTGATGAATGAGCTAGATCTAATGTTTTCAGTTCTGATTTTAATTTTTCTTGGTGGAGATTTGACATCGCGTTTAACTTTCTCAAAGTGCTGAAAATATCATAATGATTGGGGTGTTTTAGCCGAGATACATTTATAGAACTGACGTAAACCATCTGCATCCTGGGGAGTGGGGGCAAAAGTTGTGCGCTTTTCGCGCTCCATGGGTGGAAAGTGTTAAACACCGTAAGACAATTCAAGAGGTTAGACTTCTGCATTTAACGTCCATCCCCCATAGGACGGAACCGAAAGGGAGGAGAGCCTTGAGAACTCCCCATATAACCTATGTATGTACAGAATGCCCAGTTGAGTATTTGAACCAGGGCCATCCGCTCTGTATTTCAGCATAACACCAACAAAGTTAACTGTGTGCAATAGCTCACCTGCAATATCCCATAACTGCAACCTGATGAGCGTGTCTACATCCCAGTTCAACACCTTTAAGGCAAAGTCTACGCCAATCTGTAATGACAACAAAGAAACTATGTTTTAGTAAGTGTTTTACTGTGGGCTACTTGCAACACAATAAGGTCATACCAGGTATAAGTGTTGAAGATTAGAGGGTTACAAGAGAGTAAAAAACAAAGAAACAAGGAGAGTAAATAAAGATATGAAAGATGTTAGATAGGAAAGAAGGAGCAAACCACACCAGAGCACATGCCAACTACCCACATACTATTTTCTAACAAGTATTTTATGAGACATTTTAGTCAAAAAATAAACAAAAAGAATGCCATTTATGTTTGTTTGCTTGATTAAGTACAGAAGATTAGAAGAGTTACAAGAGAGTAGCAAACACAAAAAAAGATGAGGAGTAGGAAACAAGGAGCAAATCACATCAGAGCACCCACCAAACAATCATGGAAACTGTTCAGTAAGTAAAACCATAAAGTCATAAACTATCGCTAAAAACATAACATTTCTTGGCAAAATGCCCTTGAGAGGTAAAAAACCCCTGTACTTTGGCCTTCTCCCGAAAATATGTACAGTTCTTTCCTTTGGCCTGAACAGTCATTGACCCCAAAATCCAAGGAGGAGGATGTGATTAGACCACACAACATTCTTTTCCTCCCCCCTTTGTTGTGAGTACAGAGAAGCACATCACATAAGAAGGCCGATTTAATGTGGGAGAAAACTAGACCTGACAGCCATAAAAGAGGGAAAGAAATGTTCAACAGGATCTACAATTGGCAACCTCTATTAATTCTTCGTCACCCCAACCTCCCCCCCCCTCCCTCAAATAAAGTCATGTTGAAAGAAAACCATTCAGGGGGAAATACCGCCTTAATGGAAAAAAAAGCTCCAAAACCTTCAACAAAACAAACTTAGTTTGTTTGAGTATATGTTGTACTGGTCACTATCGACACAAATTAGTTTACTTGTTGAGAAAAGAAAAACACATCAACACATCAACACATTAACAGTCATTTAGTTTTTCGTCTATTTTTGTCTTAATAGTAACCGTTTCACATCACTTGCAAAACAATAAGGTTACATAAGAGTCAAAGATTAGAGGTGTTAGAGCAACAAACACAAAAAAGAAGAAAGAGAAGAGGTAGGGAAGATAGACGATAGATAGGACAGAAGGTGCAAACCACACCAGAGCACCCGCCAACCACCTGCAGTTATTTAGTGTAGGGAAAAGGTCAGAGAGACCAAAAAAAAAGAGCAGATGAAAAGAAAAGAAAACCAGCCACACACAAAAATGACAAATCAGTCACTGACAAAACAAAAATACTTTTTAAAAAGACAAACTTGAAGCGTGCTGACAAAATTAGTTACTTCTCACAATCCACAATGGAGCTATAGGCCAAAAATCTACACTAGGATCAAATTTATAGATTTAATATTGATGCAATAGTTTTAAAGTAAAACATACCTTCCATTATTTCACACTTATAAATTGTAAAAACTTCACCTACAATCAAGTGTGATGTATCTATTTGTATTGAGTTTAAATCCGAGAAGTAACTCATTTTGTCAGCATGCTTCACAAACCCAGGTTTTATGTTTATGATTAGTAAGAGTTTGACGGCACTTGCAACACAATAAGGTCATATAGGTGCTGAAGATTAGAGGTGTTACAAGAGAGTAACAAACACAAAAAAAAGAAGTAGGGGAGATAAAGGCAAAGATGTTTGATAGGAAAGAAGGAGCATTGTGACTCACAGTGGCTCTGTAGTGCTGGGAAAAGAACTGATGGACGTATCTCTTGATGATGCTGGTCTTCCCTGTGCCCAGTTCCCCGATGACCAAGATCTTGTACAGATGCTCCTTCTTCTCTCCTCCAGCAGCCTGAGGGAGACAAGCAAAGGTACCGCACAATTAGTACATCTCAACCTGCTCTACGAGTCGTAATAACCACTTGTCCAAGACAATTAGTTTGGTTGAACCTGCTATATCGGCCATCTGTACAAGACAATCATGTGAACTATCGAACATGCTCTAGCGGCCACCTGTCCAAGACGATCACCTGAACAGTTGAACATGCTCTACTGACTGACTACCTGTCCAAAGCAACCACTAGTACAGTCAAACCTGCTATATCAACCATTAGTCCAAGACAATACCTGCTCTAATGGCCACCTGTCCAAGAAAATCACCGGTACAGTCAAATCTGCTGTAATGGCCACTTGTCTGAAATATACACCTTGTACAACCGAGCATGTCCTAACAACCACTTGTCTAAGGACAATAACTCTGTACAGTCAAACCTGCTCTAAAGGCCACCTGTCCAAGACAATCACCGGTACAGTCTAACCAGGATGTAATGGCCACATGTACAAATGACCGTTCTCACTTCCCCCTTTTAACAATTGTGTCACGACGCAGTGGAATGAGGCACTCGTCAATTTTTGGGCATATGGAGTTATTGGTATCATCGTTAAGCCTGTTTATTTATCTTGTTTTTGGGGGGAAAAATACAAATTTATCCTAAAGAAAAGACAAGATATTTGCAATTGAAGGGGGTAGATGTCGCCTGGTTTCAGAGGTCAAATTAACATCAAATAGGCCGCCAAAGTTGGGTGATTTCCAAAGTTTGTGAGTCATTGTAAACTGAAAATTGACTTTTTGGGGGGCCTTTAATCAACATTTTTCCATAAAATCTGCACAGAAATGAAAAAATTGCCAAACTGACGGAAAAATGACAATTTTTTTTATTTCATTATTTTGACGAGGGCCTGATTTTACCACGAGACTCACAATTATAATCCTATACTGACATTGTCCAAGACATCTACAAGACATCTAAGACAATCATGTTCTCCTCGATAACGGCAGGTCGTCTTGGACAAATTCAACCGTATTAGTTTCAAGCCCTTTTCAACACCAAAATATAATTATAATGTCATCTGGGAGTTCCAATTTGAGGGTCCATCTTAAGTCAAGTATATTTTGAAAATTTTGTTTTTTAACGGGCTTACTTCGTTTAAGTTAAAAGCAGCACATAGACACAACAATGGTCAGTAAGCTTTTTAAAATTGTAAATGCTGGTGTTTTTATAACAATTAAGATAATCTAGGAGGCGGGCTTCGACCCTGTCTGTCAGGACCAACCCCGTAAATGAATTAGTTTAGTTTTAGTTTTAGTAGAGGTTTTATGGTGCTCGCAACTGCATAATGTCATATGAGCGACAGAAGATAAGAGGTGTTACAAGAGAGTAACAAACATAAAAAAGAAGAAGGAGAGATAAGGACGATAGATGTTTTATAGGAAAGAAGAAGCAAACCACACCAGAGCACCCGCCAACCACCCACCCAGTAAATGAATGATCCTTAAACTAAGCATGAAGTCGATGTGGGAAGAAATCATACGACAGGCATATCAGAGCCAACCCCGGCCAAGAAGGATACTATACCACACAGATAGAAGGTTCACGATAAAAATGCCCCCTCTCTCCATCCCTCCCTTCTCTCTCTCAAATCGAACCTCAAGTCTCAAGTCTTTAGTATGCAACAATGAAGAGTCAAACCATTAGCCTACACCATCAACGCCGGTGGTGAATACTTCATTGCTATCTACTATCTTCTATGATGTAAGTTTGACATCCCTTTCAACATAAAAAAACATCAACGACAAAAGAACAACAACAACAACAACAACAAAAAACAACCAACAAAAAAAAACCCCGAGGAGAGGAACGCCTGTCAACTGTCAACGCTCCTTCCCTGCCACCCCCCCC